AAGGAGGAGAAGCAGGAGACGGAGGAGGAGAAGGGTACGCAGAAGAGGAGGGTGGAGGAGGAGGAGGAGGAGGGAGGAGGGAGGAGGGAGCGGATATTACCATCACCGTGGTTATGGCCGCCCTGGGACCTGCAGCAGTGCTCCAGCTTCCCGATGGACTTCAGCAGACTGGTCTCCTCGGCAGGATCTGTCCATCGATCGATCAATCGAGCTGTCGGGCCAAGCTCGGGGCTGCTTCGCAACGACCAGAGCTCGATAGCATCAAACAGCGAATGGGGCCTAGCCGTGGCCCTGTCGTCCGACGGGGGGTCGCTGGTGCTGCATGGCGCTCTGGCCCTTTCTGCGCCGACCTCCCCCACGCAGGGGTCTGCAGGCAGGGAGGCACCCACCACTAACAGATGCCCTCCAGCCTGCCTCCTCTCCCCCATTGCCTCGAGCCCTCCTTGGCAGGAGGAAGGGGGGGAGAGAGGAGGGAAGGCAGGCAGGAGGAACACCACTGCGGCCAGGCGTCCAGGCCTGACGGAGACCACGTGGGTGAGGCCGTGTGCCATCTGGATCACGGCAAGCTCGTGCCGTAACGACCCGGGCGTTGCTTTCTGACACGGCGTGCAGCGTCCCAGCTCGAACGATGGGCGGCCCTTCGATCGCCAGGCCGTTCCAAATCCGCAAAGCCTGGAGCAGTGGCGGGATCGCCGTCGCCGGCATCGCCGTCGCGTCGACACGACGCGAACGCTGGCTGCTGCGCAGTGGGGACGGGCACGAGCGCGCGAGGCGCACGAAGAGGCAAAGGCGGGGAGGGCGCCGCCCTGCCCGGGAGACGGAGCCGGGGGTGGCTGGGCAGGAGCCTACCGCTACCGCTGCTTCACAGGCCTCCCTGCCGGGACGCGCGCTGACCAAGATTTGGAGGCGAATCCGGACGTGGCGACGACGGAAGGGTGGCGGTATCGGTACCTCTCCTCCCCTGAAGGGGGACAGGAGGCGGTACTCACGCGAGAACTCGCGGCTACCTGGGAGGCTGCCAACCAGGCAACTGTGGCGAGGCACCACGCAGATCTGAGCGAGAGATCGCCGTCCCGCACCGCGCAGATCTGAGCGAGATTTCGCCGTCCCTTGGGGGGAATGCTGATCTGGGAAACTGTCGCCACTTTCGAGGGCTGCTGGCGGGTCCAGCGGAGTGAGGCTCGCCGTCCCTGGGGGGCTGCGATCTGCGAAACCGTCGCCACTTTCGAGGGCTGCAGGTGGGTCCAATGGAGTAAGGCACCGCGTAGATCTGCGCAAGACCTCGCCGTCCCCGGGGGTCTGCGATCTGCGAAACTGTCGCCAATTTCGGGGCTGCTGGTGGGTCCAGCGGAGTGAGGCACCGCGTAGATCTGAGCGAGACCTCGCCGTCCCTAAGATGGGGACTGCGATCTGCAAAACTGTCGCCACTTTGGAGGGCTGCTGGTGGGTCCAGCGGAGTGAAGCACCGCGTAGATCTGAGCGAGACCTCGCCGTCCCTAAGATGGGGGCTGCGATCTGCGAAAATGTCGCCACTTTCGAGGGCTGCTGGTGAGCGAGGCACCGCGCAGATCTGCGCGAGACCTCGCCGTCCCTGGGGGGCTGCGATCTGCGAAACTGTCGCCACTTACGAAGCTGCTGGTAGGGTCCAGCGGAGTGAGGCACCGCGCGGATCTTGGCGAGACCTCGCCGTCCCTGGTGGCCTGCGATCTGCGAAACTGTCGCCACTTTCGAGGGCTGCTGGCGGGTCCAGTGGAGTGCAGCACCGCGCGGATCTCAGCGAGACCTCGCCGTCCCTGTCGCCACTTTCAAGGGCTGCTGGTGGGCCTCGCAGGGCGAGGCACCGCGCAGATCTGAGCGAGACCTCGCCGTCCCTTGGGGGGCTGCGATCTGCGAAACTGTCGCCATCTTTGCGGGCTGCTGGTGGGTCCAGCGGAGTGAGGCACGGTGCAGATCTGAGCGGGACCTCGCCGTCCTTGGGGGGCTGAGATCTGCGGAACTGTCGCCACGTTCGAAGGCTGCTGGCGGGTCCAGCGGAGTGAGGCACCACGCAGATCTGAGCGGGACCTCGCCATCCTGGGGGGCTGCGAGCCTCACGAATGCTGCTCGCAGAAATCCGCCGATCCGGCGTGTGAGTTTCAAGGAGTCTCAGCTACAGCCTCGAGGCTGAGCCTCAGCCTCTGGGGGGGTTGCCGGGGTGGCTCTGCCGGGGAAGGGGGGGTGGGGGGGGGGGGGGGGGGGGGGGTGCGAGTTTCCGGCGGATGCGTTTTTTGACACCCCTCACAAGGATCGTGGCCTCCGAGGGGGTTCCGAACTCGAGTACCACCCCTCCCGCACCAAGAGGCTCCGAGGAGGCCTCCAAGAGGCCCCAAGGGGCGCAGAAGAGGCCCCCAAGAAGCCCCAAGAGGCTCCCAAGAGACCCCCAAGAGGCCCTCTAGTGGCCCCAAGAGGCCCAAGAGGCCCCCAAGAAGCCCCAAGAGGCGCCCAAGAGGCCCCCAGAAGTCCCAGCCAACCACGAGATCCCAACCAGCATCCATGAGGCCTCTGACCCACCACCCACGCACGGTGGCGGGATAGGCCGACGGCCACTGGATCCGCCGCCCCCTGTGGTCTTGCCACAGGGGTGCACGGCGTGCTGGACGATTCAGGTTTTGGTTTTGGTTCTTTTTCTAAAAGAACTCCCCAGTGGGCTTCGGCCCGTCCCGCCGGCCACCCGTAAGTTTCCGAAAATCCATCTGTCAATGCCTTTGTTGCCCCAACTTGGCCCAAGATGGCCTCCAAGACGGCCAAGATGGCCCAAGATGGCCTCCAAGATGCCTCCAAGACGGCCAAGATGGCCTCCAAGACGGGTAAGATGGCTCCAAGATGCCTCCAAGACGGCCCAAGATGCCCTCCAAGACGGCCAAGATGGCCCCAAGATGCCTCCAAGATGGCCCAAGAGGCCTCCAAGACGTTCTCCAGGAGAGCCCGAAGAGGCCAAAATCATTGGTTTTCCTTAGGTTTTTGAAGGTTTTTTGCGTTTTCTTCTTTTCGGCCTTCCGACGGCCCAAGAGGCCCCCAAGATCGCCCAAGAGGCCTCCAAGAAGGCCCTATGACGGCCCAAGGGCCCCCCAAGACGGCCCCAAGAGCGCCCCAAGACGGCCCAAGAGGCCTCCAAGACGCCCAACATGGCCTCCAAGACGGCCCTGAAGCGCCCCAAGAGGGCCCCAAGACGGCCCAGAGAGGCCCCCAAGACGGCTCCAGACGGCGTCAGACGGACCAGGAACGCCCTAAGACGGCCAAAGAGACCCCCAGGAAGCCCCCAAAGGCCCCCAAGAGGCCCAAGGAGGCCCCCAAGATGCCTCCAAGAGGCCTCGAAGAGGCCCCCAAGAAGCCCCCAACAGACCCCAAGGGTGCCCCAAGAGACTCCTAACAACCCTCATCCTCCTACTCTATTTCTTCCTCTTCCTCTTCCTGTTCATAATCATTCTCTCCCATGTGTTCCCCGAAAGCTTTCCAAACCGACTCGGGGAACTCATGGTCCGATAGCTTGGCCAAGCTCTAGTCCAACTTTCGGCCACATCGGCGTTTCCAAAAAGGCAGGGGGCGGCGGTGATTCGCCGTAGGCGTCTTCGATAAATGCTGAGTGAGAGGAGGGGAGGGAAAAAGAGAGGAGGGACGAGGGCGAAGAAGGATCACATCAGTCGGAGCGCCCCGGATCGGCGGCACTGGCCGAAGGCCACTACAATATATGCGCCCGTGTCCCAGGCTACTAGTGCCCCGCATTGTGCAGGGGTTGGGTACGTCGCCAAGGTAATGTCAAAATGCTGCACTCGCTGCCGCGCTGGCCTCATTCTCGGGCTACCGCTCGGTCCGAATCGTGCTCCCGCTGCAGCGATGGCCTCATTTCCGCGCTTCCGCTCGTTCCGAATCCTGCTCCCGCTGTAGCGCTGGCGTCATTATTTCCAGCGCCATGCCACGGCATGGTTTTCTGTCCTTCCAAACAGGCCCCAAAATCTACAAAATGGCCCCCCGGCAAAAACCATCCATCGGAAGTGACTCCACATCTGGTGTCGATTCGTTGATTTCTTGGGCCGCAGAAGCCCCACCAACTTTGGGGCGGCGCCACGCCATGCTATGTCAGGCTACGCGTCCTCATTTCCGCGCTGCCGCGCTTGGGTTGTTGTTTAAATGCTGCTCTCGCTGCCGCGCTGGCCTCATTCTCGGGCTACCGCTCGGTCCGAATCGTGCTCCCGCTGCAGCGATGGCCTCATTTCCGCGCTTCCGCTCGTTCCGAATCCTGCTCCCGCTGTAGCGCTGGCGTCATTATTTCCAGCGCCATGCCACGGCATGGTTTTCTGTCCTTCCAAACAGGCCCCAAAATCTACAAAATGGCCCCCCGGCAAAAACCATCCATCGGAAGTGACTCCACATCTGGTGTCGATTCGTTGATTTCTTGGGCCGCAGAAGCCCCACCAACTTTGGGGCGGCGCCACGCCATGCTATGTCAGGCTTCGCGTTAAGCTTCAACACCATGCTATACCGTATGAAGCCATGTCATGCTACGACATCGATTGCGCGAATAGAGAGAGGTCCTACGTCATGGTAAGGGATGGGAGGGAGGGGTAGGACGTCAGACATGACGCGAGCGCACCTAGCTTGCCCCCTCCCCCTCCCTCCCCCCCTCGTCCCTCCTGCAATGGTAACGGCGGCCCGGAACGCACCCCGCTGGGGTGCGTTCCGCGCCACTGACTCAGTGCCCCCCAGCATGCAAGGGGGGGCTCCAGGCCACACACACACACATCCAGTACGGTCGTTAGCTTTACCCGGGGAGGGCTGGGGGGGGTGTTGGCCCAGGTAGCGAGCGTTACCCTGGGGATGAAGAAAAGAAAAAGCTCCACTCCGCCCGTGCGAGACATGACGGGAGAGCGAGGGCGAGGGCGGGTGCAAGGAGGGCGAGGGAGGGCGAGGGCGGGGCCGAGGGTGAGTGCAAGGGTGAAGAGGGTGACAACGACTTCGACGACGACGACGACGACGACGACGACGACGACAAGGGCGAAGAAACGAATAAGGAGGGAGAGAGGTGAGATTACCTTCATGTCCCTCCCTGCCCATCCTTTCCACCAGTACTCCTCCCGCGTCCCCTCCCTCGCCTTTCCACTGTGCCACCTTCCGTCTACAAGGATTTCCTCAAATGGCACCCCTGGCGCCTGCTGCACCCGCAAAAAGCAGTCCGAGGCGGCAGGCTGGTCGCCCTTGAGCCTCCTCAGATCTGTAATCTTCACGGCATACCTGGGAAGACCGCAGCTTACATCGGGGGCCCGCTGATATAAAGGCACATCGCGCTTGCGCGTCGAAGAGGAATGCGCGGATGCCTGCGCACACAACCCAAAGGCATGTCAGCGGTGCCGAGCGGCGAGCGCATGCTCGAGATGCGAGCGCGCGATCGAGGCACTCTAGGCCGCGGGCTCGCTCTCGGGCGCACCGTCGACTCTCCTGCAGCTGTAAACGCAGGCGAAACAACCCTCCCCGATCTGCTCTTCCAGCACGTAGGACCGGTGGAAGTTGGGACGCGCAGTGCATGGACTGGCGGGACTGACGGGACTTGCAGGGATCTCCTCCGACTCAGACGTGGCTATAGCCGTATTCGCCACGCACCCCATTGCATTCGGCGGATGCGCCTGACTCAGGCCGCTGTCGAACGCCCGCCAAAACCGAACCTGGTTGTTATCCGAGGCAACTGTGAGGTGCCGCCCCAGACCCAGTATGGCTGCGGACGGCGACGCGGGGGGGGGGGGAGACGAAGGAGGCAGGCGCCACGGGCTGGGGTCAGGACAGCAGCAGATGATCATCGTTCAACCGATCCCTATCCCCATTGCCGTGGCCTTGGCCCCACTGGCCTAACACCCCGCTAGACCAGGATTTACGATGTTGCCATCAGGTTTCGCGCGGCCCATCCCCAACTGGCAGAATGGGATGGTGGGGCTAAGATACCATGGCACAGTCGGGATGGGGATCGGTTAAACGCGACTGAGCACACTCACCGAGAAGGACCGAGAGTTCGTAGATAAAGGACCGCACCTTTCTCCAATCATACTGGGGACATTCCGCACGAAAAAGGTGAACCCATCGAGGACACGTGTGAGCCGTGCTTTATTCCCCTCCACCCCAACATCACTATCATGGTCCTCCTCCCACTCCATCCTTCTGCTGTTGCTGATCCCCGTGCTCCCTACCACTGCATCCTTATACTCCTCCGCGTCCGTCTCTGCTCCTCCACCCCCTCCTTCATCCATTTTCTTACAAATAACACCTCCCTGTCGCACCAGCGGACTGCTCGTTAGAGCGGGCCAGACGTTTCGCCTGAGGTTCCCAACCTCGCGCCGTATTGACATAGAACATGTCCAACAGTTAGACGGAGCAAGAGCGCCCCATTTGGGAAATGGGGCTCTCCCGTTGGCGCTGTGCGCACGCGTCTTGGAAAACGCCAACGGCTACACGGATGGAAGGCGGCACGTTGTAAAAATTGGGTTCCCCCTTTCGACGCCGCGTACACGAACACTGATGGAGGGCAACCAATTTTCAAATGGACTCGTCGCCTCACAGCCCCACATATACAGAAAACAAAATAATGAGGTCGCAAACATATACAGAAAACTAAATACACCTACAGGAAGACGGCAACTTTCTGGAATATCCCAAGGCTGTCCGCTTTCACCGCTCTTGTTTGTTATTGTTATGACGATGGTATTACGAAACGCCGAGCGCCACGCAGACTCCAGTGTACGTGAGGCTCTTCGCGCCGACGACACGCTGCTCGTTGGACGTGACCAAATTCATATGCTATCGCTCTTGGGAGAAATAATAGAATCAGCGGCCCAGGTCGGCATGGAATTGCATTGGGACAAGTTCCAGTTCATGCGTGTTCGTTGCGATATGAGCCTTTTGACGCCACAGGGCGAGCCAATCCCAGCCAAAGAATCAATTGTGTATCTTGGGGCAACAATCTCGAGCTCAGGCCGGCTGTCTGGAGAATTCAGCAAAAGATTGGGGGCAGCTTGGGGTGAACTTTGCAGATATAGGCGCGCGTGGAAACACGCAGCTGTCGGGAAGGCCCGCAAACTTCAAGTTTTCCAATCTCTCGTCACGAGTGAGGTCATGTATTCTCTAAATTCGGCTTGGCTCAACAAGGCAGAACGTCGACAGCTAGATGGTTTTCAGGCCGGGTGCCTCCGCAGATCTTGCACATCCCGTCCGCGTACATCTCCAGAGTTCCCAACAGAGACGTGCTGCTGCGAGCAAATCAAGAGCCGTACACGACGCAGCTCCTGAGACAACAACTTCTGTGGTTTGAGAAAATCGGTAGGGCTAGCAATTCGAATCTGTTGCGGCGCCTTACGTTTCAGGACGGATGCCTGCGACCAGCTACAGACGCTTGCGCCCGGGCTGCAGGGCGGCCGAGGAATGAATGGGCAAAGTGCTTAATGAAGACGATCGGTCCGCACTTCGCTTCAAAGGAGGCCG